TAACTCGGTTGATTTCGCCACAACATCCTTCCAGGGAGGTTCGAGCTGCCTTCAGTTTGGAGTTCGTTCCTATCTGCACCACTTCTATGAAGAGTGCTCATCCTCCATGTGGGACAGAGACTCGGAGGTTCGGGGCTTTGTCCAGAGGCAGAGGTCAGCCCTGTGGTGGAACTCAGCAGTCTGGAAGGTAAAGCACTCTGTACACACCGAGACAGGTTTCCAATGAAGACTTTTTTTGTTACACACAGAAAAAAATAAAATACTAATAATTACTTTAAAGCATAACAAAAATGTCAGGTTTGACTGAGCCAGTTCCATTGATTAAGTGTCATAATTAAGTCTTTAATGCACTCAATTTTCAGCTAAATACAGAAAGAATGCAGTAATAGAAATTCTGTAACTTTCTGTTCAGGGGATTGGGGATTTGGATATGTTTCCTCATTTTCTCCACATTTGGACTGTCCATGTCCCTACACGCTGGTGTCCTTGTCCCTGCCAGCCCCTGGTTGGCCTGAGGAGGGCTGCAGACAGAGACATGCTGCCTCTGTGACACATTTTGTCTCCTGCTGGTTGTTTTCAGCTGCCAGCTATGAGCTTCACCACTGAAAAAATTCTCCACAGTAGTGCATACAGTGCATTTTAAAGTGTCTCTGCATGATGAACAGGCAGTGGTGTGGTGGTATTTCTAAAGGCACAGGATTACATGCAAGCCCCCCCCCCAACCCATCTGGCAATTTGGATCGTTCTGCATTACAAACAAGAAAGTGACCTTTTCTAACAAGAAGTGAAGAGCACCAAGAAAATAGAGCCACCTACACATACAAAAACAACCAAGTGTGCACAAATGACCACCTCAGCTTTCTTTGTCTGTCTCTCTCCAGGTGTCCTTGGCCCTGGGTCTCCTGATCCTCACTGCAGGCATCGTCACCCTCTCAGTCGGTTACTCCACTCCTCACAAAATCGAGTCATTCGGAGAAGGAGACCTGTTCTTCGTGGACACCCAGGCCGTCAGCTTTAACAGGGGGCTGCACGCCAGCGCTGCAGCCGGGATCGGGCTCTCCTGCCTCGGCTCTGCCCTGGCGGCGATGGGGGCGGTCGTTTGGATCCTCAACAGGGCAAACTTGAAAGAGAGGCTTTTCCACAAACCAGGGGAAGGGGAACGAAGAGGAGAGCTGGGGTCAAAGTGGAGGGGATGTAGGGATCTGGGGGATGTGGTCACTAAGCCGCCAGGTACAGAGGAAGGAAAGACGCCTTTCACTCTGTCGAAAGTAGAAAATGTGCAGCCCGCTTCGTAAAAGTATGATGCCTGCTGAGCAACAGGGTGCACAGGCTTTTGTTCTAGTCTTGGGGCCTTGTTTACGTGCTCTTATCACAGTTTCAGATCCATTTTTTTAAGGGATAAAAGTGTCATTTTAGCACGCAAATTGTTCCCAAGGAGGCTGTTTTGTGATTACAGGAAGATATTAGATCTCAGCAAGGTACTATAAAGACCTACAAGGCTTTAAAGCACAAGTTGAACTACTTTCCTAAAACATCTAAATTCAAATGTGAGGCCCCAAGACTATAAACCTGAGACCTTGCAGCTCTCTTAAACACCTCGTAGTGCAGCTTAGGGACATAGCTGTTGACTGTAGACTGTGTCTGTGCAGTGCACTTGTGTTATATTTTTAAAAATGCATTGCCTCAACAGTCGAAGGGAGCAGAATTCTTGTGACTGATAGAAATTCATGTTTTATCCTCTCACTTGCTGGTGTTTGTTGTATTTTTGTTCTTTCTTCTTCTGGTAGTTGTTTTTCAAATAGCAGCGGTGTCAGCTTCCCGTGTAGACAAGGTGGTAATACTGCATGAATCCATGTGAAAACCTGCGTTTCCATTCACACACAGATGTTACTGATGCAAGACTCATTAACATTTCTGCATCCACATTTTCACATATCTACACTAATGCTTGGCCCGCCGTGTTCGACGCGTGTACAGTCACATGCGCTCTCTCGCTCACCCACACACCCACACGCATGCACAAATTTGTGCTCCATTGACAGTATCACCTATTTTCACCCCACTGTAATCTGGCTCTGTAATTGCCTGCAATCTGTGTATCCAGGCAACAGTTAGGCTTCAAGTGCTCTATTTTGAACTCCGAACAAAGAGTCTTTTCTGATTGGTCCCTCGCTTCCCCTCTCTTTATTTTCACACCAATCAGCTTTTTTGTTTACAGGCACACACAGTAGTAGCGAGTAAGTGGTGAAGGGCTGAGGCGAGAGGAATTTGCACTGGCACCTTAGAGGCCACCTGTGTGATTGGGTCCTCCAATTTGTTATAATAGAGAGTACAAGTGAGAGAGAGGGGAAAAAAAAAAAAGTGAAAAAACAGCGGAGCAACCATGATGTTCTGCTATAATGGCACTGATCCCATTGTATGCTGTTATTGGTGTTTCACTGTTTTGTTGTGTTATTGGGTATTATTAGGATAATGGAGTGAAATAAGGTTTAGTGTCACTGGTATAAAAAAAGCAAACAGCCAAAATAAACTTGTGATCTGCAAACCTAATCTTTTGGAAGTGCTTGGATCCATTTATTGAATCTGTTTCACTGTGGCAGAGATGTAAATATAATATGGAGTGTTTTTCTAAATGAGATTACTCTGCATAAAGACGAAACTGGTTATAGAAATGACTTCATATTGAATTTAGACTGTGGAGTTTTTCACCCCTTTTATACTCTTTTTTTTTTTCTTTCTTTTTTGATGCGACACACTCCTGCCAACACTGCTGCACTGATTTACATGAGGCAGGAAAGACAGTGAAGAAGGAGCTGCTGATCATCATCATCATCATCATCATCATCATCATAACACATTTTAGTTATAAAGCACTTTTAATTTAAAAGAAATCTCAAAGTGCTACAAGCATGTAATAAAAAAGCAAAACAGTACACACACTTAAAATTACAATTAACAAAAAGGAGTTCTTAAGTTGAGTTAAAAGCCTCTTTAAAAAGGAAGGTCTTCAAGTGTTTTTTTTTTAAAGCAGCCACTGACTGTGGGGTCCTGAGGTAACTGGGTAGGGAGTTCCACAGACGTGGTGCAGCAGCGCAAAAGGTATGGAGCTTGGTTCTGGGAGCTTGGAGGAGGAGGTCTTGATTTGCAGAGCGTGTGTTCCAGGTTGGGGTTTGCTGAGTGAGGAGTTCTTTGAGGTATGGTGGGGCGTTTCCATAAATGCACTGGTGAGCGATGAGAGCGACTTTATAATTTATTCTGGCAGTGATGGGAAGCCAGTGGAGCATGCAGACTATTGGGGTGATATGTTCATGTTTTCTGGTTCAGTTTTCTGGAACAGCTGGAGCTTTTGGAGACTTTTGCTGGGGATCCCAGTGAGGAGGGCGTTGCAGTAGACCACTCTCAAGGAGACGAAGGCGTGGACGACCTTCTCTGCGTCGGATGCGGTGAGGGAGGGTAGGACTCTGGTAATGTTCTTGAGGTAAAAAAAACAAAACAAAACAGGATTTACACAGATGTTTGACATGGTTTTCAAAAGTTAGGTGAGGGTCCAGTCTCACACCGAGGTTAGTGACAGCAGATGAAAGGGGTATATTTTGTCTGGAAAAGGTGGTGGTGATTATGGAGGATGACTGGACCTGGTGAGTGTTGCCAATAAGTATGGCTTACAGCAGTTTATTTGAAGAAAATTATGACTTATCCACTCCTTTATCTCCTCCAGGCAGGTCGTGAGTGTTGAGAGTGGTGATGATGATGATGATGATGATGATGATGATGATGATGATGATGATGATGATGATGATGGAGCAGTTGAAGAAGTTGAGTCAGTCCTGACATACAACTGGGTGTCACTGGCGTAGCAATGGAATTTCATTCCATGCTGGCAGATGGCATGACCAAGGGGAAGCATGTATATGATGAATGTATATGATGAAGAGTAATGGACCAAGGACAGAGCCTTGAGGGACACCGCAGGTGACAGGTAGTGTTTGAGACCTCACAGCTCCCATGCTGATAAACTGGGTCCTCCCAGAGAGGTAGGATGCAAACCAGTCCAGGGCAGAGTTTGAAAATCCAATATGTTCACGAAGGCGCTTGAAGAGAATGAGATGGTCAACGGTGTCAAAGGCAGCTGTCAGGTTGAGGAGGATGAGGAGGGAAGGAGAGCTGGCATCAGCTGCCATTAGAAGATCAGTGTTAAATAATACAGATTTTATCATTTTCAATTTATATATATGTTCAAGCTTTTAACTGTAAGTGAATTGTTTTGGTTCTTAAAGGTTATTTATACTTGTGTTTATGTACTCAGTATTAAGGATAAATGAACAAAAAGAAACTAAGAGGAAGTAAATCACAGTAATAACAAAGTAACATGGTAGAAAATAAGGTTGCACATGTAATATTTGCTAATTATGCTGCAGCTTGAGCACATCAGCTCACCTAGGACTCTGCTCAAACACTATAATACTACTGTATGCTACACAGTGATAAGTTGTGATATTTGAGTAAGTAAATTGTGGTACAGTAACATTTAAATCATGACCATCTCCCATTTCAGTCATTATCCACTTTGTTTAGGGAGCTTCATGTCATTTTCTGTTCACTGACTTGGCTTTACATCTCCTAAACATAGAAGCTACTAAGGATAGGGAAAAAAAATGTTGTATAGTGTCCATCTCTCTTGGCAAATCTCACTGATAGGAATAGGATGGGAATAAGAAAAAACTCACTAAAATCCTTCCGGACAGAGTGCAATTAAAGAAACAAAATGCAACATTTCCATATTAAAA